TTGGGTTTCCACTTCTCTTTCTTATCTGTCGAAAAAAAAAAAAAAAAAAGATTCCCTCACTTCATGAAGAAGTACTGCAGAAAGCAGGCGATGAGGAAGGAGAGGCCGGCGAAGGCGCACATGATGAAAGCGGCGAAGCGCTCGTCGCTGGACATCAGGCCCGCCGCCGCCCCTCGTGAGATCTGGAAGGCCGCCTCCTCGCCCTTAAAAACCTGTCGCACAAGACCGGATTTCCTCAACGGGGATGCCAACCTCACAAACACGTCATTGGACATCGCAGTCGAACATTTTGCACATTATTTTTGTGCCGCGGCCACGGCAACGTCTCGCAGGGCTCTAATTCAAATTTGCTCGTCTTCGGGCAGTCGGCGGTGATTGGGCTGGCAACCGGTTCAGGGTGTCCCCCACCCTGAACCGGTTGCCAGCCAATCACAGGCCACACACAGACAAACAACCAGCCGCGCTCACACTCACACACAATTTAGTGTGTTCAATCAGCCTGCCATGCATGTTTTTGGAATGTGGGAGGCAACCGGAGTACCCGGAGAAAACCCACGCAGGCCCGGAAAGAACATGCAAACTCCACACAAGGAGGCCGGAGCTGGAATTGAACCCGGTACCTCTGCACTGTGAGGTCAAAGCACTAACCACTGGACCACCGGACCGCCCTGAGCAGATTTAATGAACGTTAAAATAAGTTGTAGCATGAAAGGGGATTTGCCTTGATTATGAACACGTTCATTTCAAAAGCCCAGGAAGATACACAAAGGCACCAGGTTTTCTTTTCATTCACGAGGACCTTCACGCCCACAGCGGCTGCAATTGCGGCTGATTTTCAGCAGGTCGATCAGAAAATCGCAGCCAAAATTTTGAACAGTACATTTTTGCTGTTTTTCGACTGGCACTGCACTTTCATTTTCTGTGTGTGTTGCCCATCAATACACAGTTCATGTTGTGCTGCTCCCTGAGGACATTTAAAAAAACAAAACACAGGCTTGCCAAGAATAAGAATGAACCAATCCTCCCCGCATTTGACCCACGTGTGTGTGACTTTGTATCCCGTGAGAACACCTGGAGAATCAAAAACGACCTGCCCAAACAAGACACAAAAGCGCCCGGTTTTGTTTTTAGTCGATTGTCCGCAAGGTTTTTGCAACTCAAAGCAGATGATCAACAAATGAACGACTAATATCACGACAATGGACTGAACCGGACAAAAAAAATGACTATTTTCCTTTTAGACGCGGATTTTGTGACATCTGAGGACGTTACAGACAGACCACAAAGTTTTGAATAGTGGCTGTGTGGGGGTTAAAAAAAATAGATATAAAAAGCGAGCTTGTTTTGACTCGGAGTGTGTGTGTGTGAGTGTGTGTACCTGCTTGTATTCCGACTCGCGGCCCACCAGCACCTGCAGCACGTAGCTCACGGGGTCCCCTCTCATCGGCGGGATGGTCTCCCACGTGATTTCGCACGCGTTCCCTTCCAGCTGGTGCACCTTGGGAGCTGTCACGTGACCAATGAAAAAATAATAATCACAATAAATCGTGTTCTTGTGTGCATGCATGCGCTTGTGAATTCATCGAATTCAAATCGACATGCAGTAGAATGCTGCAAATTGGAAAAGGAGTTTATTTCGTGTTTAGTGTTTAATGCAGATGAATCTTTTTGCTTGTTTGAAAATTAGGTGGGGGAGGGAGGGAAATAATCGCATATTAAATCGCAATATTGGTGGTGGTGGTGGTGGGGGAAGAAGGGGGGGGGAATGGCATTTTTACAATCGTTCAACCCGAGTGTGGTCTTTACCTTTGAGGGCAGGGGGCACGGATTTGGTGGTGCAGAATGTTTGGCAGTCCGAGTAGGGGCCCTCGCCAGCGTCGCTGATGGCCTGTATTCTGAAGGTGTAGCTGCTAGACTCGGTCAGCCGCTGGACCTTGTAGGTGTGACTGGGGCCCCGGTAGATGCTCACGAACCTGACAGAGTGGGAGGGGTGAGGGGTGGATGGGGCAGTTGTTGAATTACAGAACAAGTTCGACTAAAAAGTGTGTTAAACTCCCTTTTAGCCAGTCCTTAGCAATGCTTCATGTCTCCATTTTGAATTGTCCGTTGCAGCTTCCCGCAATCAATGGGATCGGACCAAAGGGTAGAGCGGGCGTTTATTCACCCGAGAGAACAAAAATGAGGACATTATTGCGTCCTAAGTGTTTGTTCGGACCCCCTCTGCAGCTTCACGCAGTCAGGTTATTTCGCTATATCGTGATGTCGGGGTCTAAGACAATTGTTTTCAAAACAAAAAGGGCGAGGGCAGTGAGCCTTGTGGCATTCCGGCTCTGTTCCATCATTAAATCCAATTAATTGAAGTGCAGTGTCTGTTTTTTTTTTCATTCCATATATTTCATTGAATAAATAATTTGAGCATTATTTAAGTGTGTCATACACGTGCCTACTGGAATATTGGCGGTGGATTCAACATTCAAATTAACGCCACACCCTCGTACCAAGTCAGGTGTTAAAAATTAGCCTGGAAGTTGCGGCCTCTCGGCTTCATCTGGTAACAATCCATCATCATCACGGCACTGAGCGTGGCTTCATTAACACTGAACTCGACGGGGGGGTCGGCATTTAACGAGGCCTTGATCTGACTTTGTCTGACTAAGCGACAAAAACTCTGACGAGAGGGCACAGGAGGACGGCAGCCTGATGTTATCGTTTGTCTGATTTATCTACTTTACGCCGATCGACAATATTGGGTTCAGCTCGCCACAATCTCAGTCCGTCTTTTTTTATTTTTATTTTTTTAATGTTGTTTATCTCGGAAGGCTTTTAGTCTAGGTCACGTTGCCATGGAGCGCCAAGGGAAATGAGAAAATACAAGTCGCTGGATTTTGAAGGCCGGTAATGAGGGTTGAAGTGAAGTGAGGACAGAACAAACAAAACAAATTCACTCACTGGACACTTTATTAGGCACACCCACAACGTATCAGTTGTCGATTCGAGGCAAGGAGTTTATAATGAACAATATTGTCATGATTTGAGAGTAATCTGAAATCATTAAAAAAAAAAAAAAAACATTTCAAACACAACCATCGGGACATTTATTTTCCAAGGCGATGATATATTCAATGTGGGCTGCACCATTTGAATGGCGGCCGACGATTTGTGTTGCGAAAGGACCAACTCTGCAGTCATTCGAAACGATTGCTATTTTTCTGACGCACCGCTCTTGTATTGGATCTGGCGGGGAAGTCGATTTTCTTTAAATGCGATTAGAGGAATACAAAATGCATGAGGCGCTGAGGTGGCGCTGAGAGGCAATCGGAAAGAAGCTGATTAAACGCGGCCGCCCAAACACAAAAATTACATTTGCGCTATTTGCATTGGGCCGTTCCATATGTCTGGAGATACTTTCACCAACGTGTTATTTCCGGGCTCCCTTGATGCTTGCCGTTGTCAAGGTCAATTTATCTCGTGATGAGAATGACAAAATAGGATTTGGCAAAAAGACAAAGTGGCCAGAGGGTAGGATAGATAACTAAGTACATAAATAAGCACAGGATATCTATAAAAACATAGGTACAATATATACACACATATGGTATATATACACACACGAGTGTGTCTCACACACGCACACCATCCCTCTAAGGAAAAAAGAAAAAAAAAAACTAAACAAAATAGCAAAAGAGGAAGTGAGGCGGGCATCATCCTCTGTCATGTGCCCAAAGCTCCTTTTAAGTGGCGCGTTAATAGAAAAGAGCTCATCTGCGGCCACGTTAATCTCCTCCCTCACACGGCCTCAACGTGACTCCGCTATGGTACATCTGGTTACACCATGCGGACACACACACACACACACACACACACACACACACACACACAAACAGGCATACGCGCACACGCACGCACACTCGTGGGTCTCTAATGAGGTGCTCGTACGCTTTCTGTGTAGTATTGATGTTTGTGTGATTGATTAGCAGCAGGTGGAGGAGGGAAAGTGGTTACTTTTGGTCACTTTATTAGGTACACCTGTACAATCTCATGAGATTGAATAGGGGGGAGGGGGGGGGCGCAGGGGGGCATCTGTCATGACCAAAGAAAACAATGCGATTAAAAGGTCATCTCAGGCTAAAAATGAAAATGGGAAAAAAAAATTCTTCGCGTTTTCATCAAAATATTTTGAAAAAGGTTTCAATTTGGTTTTTTTTTTGTTTTGTTTAATGAAGAATCGCATTGTCATTAAAACGACGACAAAACTAGGACTTTACAAATATGTTCTCAATGTCTTAGTAACTCTTAAATATTAATGACAAAAGTGACCATTGCCATATAAGTGTGGATATGTTTGTAGGTCTGTCCGTATAGGTGTACATGAATACGATCCGTGTATAAGGTATAAGGTACAGGGAACCCACCTGTGGTTTTTGTCCTCCATCTGCAGGGTGTAGTAAACGTCGTCGGCCATCAGGGAGGAGCGAGGGTTGCTGGCATTCTCGCCCCATTTCAGCTTGAGGCTCTGCGGCCCGGCGGCGGCGCACTCCAGAGGAGGCGGGGCCGGGGGCAGGGGCCGCGTCCTCGCGAGCAACAGCGGGCTGGACGGGCCGCAGCCGATGGCGTTGACTGCCTGGATCTGAACGCTAAAACACCACAGCGATACAAAAAGCACATTTCAGTAAGAGTTTTTCATGTTAAAAGCGACCTGGCACGATCGAAATTTTGATCTCCGCCGATTTAAATTTACGAAAACCGCCACCTAGCACAACAGAAAGAAACCAAACGTCGGGGCGGTAATCCGCAAAATCAAGAAACTTTCAGCTATCCAGCAACGTAGAACAAAGTGACAGCACATCATGAAAAGGACACACACACACACACACACACACACACACACACACACACACACTCACACACACACACAGGTATCTCTTCCACAAACACACGCACACATTTTCCTGGCACAGTGTGATGATGCAGTTCGCTTTTGGGGGGGGGGGGGGGGCAGACATCTTGTTTCATGAGCGCACGTGGCATTTGGAGGCTAACATGACTGACCTTTGATTAAAATTCATGCCGCAACACCAACATCTGGCCATGAGAGGCAACACGTGCACCAACAGGAACTTATTTTTTTACAAACTGTTTTCAAAAATAACATTGATCAAAACGTATGAATATTTTTTTTTGTTCATCAAGTATTCATTTTTGAGTATGTTTCACAATCAGGAAGTGGTGGCTCCTAATAAACGAGAAGGGATTTATCGATGCATTTATTTATTCAAGAAACTGGCGGTGGCTTGAACTTGCCAAATAGTGAGCCAACACACATTATTGAGTCATTCACGACTTTAATGTGGACTGAAAATCATTATTAAGTCAATAATTCATTCACTTTTTTTTAAAGAATGATACAAATCATGAGCTGGCAAGGAATAAATCGATTGGGGTTGGAACAATACAGGATTCGACAGAACAGATCACGTGTGGTGCCTGCTCCAATTGTGAGAAGACATTTATATCATTTTTCTTCTTCTTTTTCTTCTTCTCATTCAGTCATGTGTATCTGGTGCTTTATGCTTATATAAAAAAAAAATAAAAGCCATGAATTTGGAACAAATACAGAAAATGGGACAGATGTATTGATCATCTTAAAACGATATTCTACCATTTATTAATTACATTCATAAATAATATAAAATAAAAGTATTTGAGTAATTATAATCAATAAATGAGAATCGTCTCCCTTTTGTCAAAGTGTGACTGCTGAAAAAGCAACTCAACAGAATCGCGGCCAACTTGAGCCTGCCAAATAGTGAGCCAACAACGACGATTGCCACTTTGTCATTTGGAACCGTTGGCGTCTTTTTCTTTCTTTCTTTTTTTTTGTTTCATAATTATAATTAAGACTTTAAACATCATGTCTAAACCTTTAACCACTTTAAACACGAACTGGTGCAAATATGAATACGCTTTCCGCGCCAAAGGAGGCGCGCGCGCACGTGCGAGCGGCGCAGCGTTGTGCCATTACGCAAGAGAGCAGCCCGACATGGGAACAAAACAAGCGGAGGAGGAAAACAGCACACACACACACGCACACACAATACACACACACACACACACACACACACACACACACACACACACACACACACACACACACACACACACACACACACACACACACGCTGGTACAGGTAAATAACAGAATAATTTACAGAAGGTAACAACAGCACACTGTGATTCAGGTGGTGAGTAGTTGGTTATTTACTGCAGGTTTTTTTTTCTCCACGATCCAATCAAAGGCTCCAAATATTTTTCGCAGAAAAATTTCCAGGCTGTCCTCAATTACATGATGATCATTTTAAAAAAAATTATTCAAACCTCCTCGATTTATGCTTTTCAATCGCAAAATACATCAGAGCCCTACATTGTCTCCACCCTGCTCCCTCCAAAAAAAAAGTAGAACCGCGAGCTACACAAGCAAAAAGAAAGACGAATAATTTATTTTCTGGCATGGCAACATACCGATCATAAAATGAACGTTCCTTGAACCGGTCCTTCTTGAGAACTGACACAACAAAAGAAATGACTAGAAATGATCCACAAAGTCAAAAAAGTTCACATTATGCTCGAAACAATCCACAAAGTCAAAAAAGGATGTAAGGGTATCCCTCCGTCGATGAACCAATCAGATAATCATCAAGACATCAAAACTCGAAATAATTCAGAGTCAGAAAAAGTCGTGGAGTCGCCGTACCTGTACTCGCTGTTCGGCTGCAGACCGCCGACGAGGTGACTGGTCGCCGGCTCCACCGTGATGGTCCGCTCGTCCAGAGAGATGACGTACGATGAGATTTCCGCCCCGTTGCTGTTTGGCTCCTCCCACTTGAGGAAGAGACAGGTGGCGCGCGACTGGCCCGACTCCGACGAGGCTGGCGGGTCCAGGAGGCTGAGCGAAGAGACGGCGTCGGGAATGGTCGCCGGTGTCTGGAAACTGACCTGCTCGCTGTGAGGCCCCGTCCCCGCCTGATTGACAGCCTGAGGGGCGGGAGAAGAAGAGGCAAAATTCAACGGACTAAACTCCACACGGGAGTTACACGTGATCATTTTTGGGGCATGAAAGGATTTATTATACAATACGAAGTGACTTTTTTTTTTTTTTTTTTTTTTTACTCTTGTACTAGACAATTACTCAAATCAACTACGATGACGCATTTTGGAGCAAAAAAAAAAAAAAACCCCTAAAAATGAACTAACTTGCTCTCAAATCTAATTAAAACTCACCTCAAAAAAAAAAAAGTCAAAACGAAATAAAGAAGTCACTCCGACCGGAACCCGGCTAACCTGTAACCTGCAGCAGTAGCTGGTGGCGGGCGTGAGGTCGGACACTTCGCACTGCGTGGCCGAGCCGCAGTAGATCAACTCCATGGGCTCGTCTTCCCGGCCCCACTCCAGAAGATACTCCGAGATGTCGCTGCCCGAGCACTCGGGACTCTGACACACACACACACACACACACCCATTGCATTTTAAGACAACAGAAAAATGTGACTTGAGGTATAAGAGAATAAATGGCGTTGAGACAACAAAAAAAAAATCCTCATAAAAATGTGAAGTTAAAAAAATAAATAAATAAATAAACATTATTCATTGCTTATTAGCGTTATTATTATGTTCAAAGGGGGGGAAAAAAATATGATTTGACTTCGCACAGGGCGTAGCCGGCCGCATCCATAAATAGACGGAACCGCATTGTGATGTCAGACGGATTGCTGCCATTAAAGCGATGAGCAAGCTTGATTGCCGCGGTTGAGTCACAGACGACAACAACAACATCAACGACCTTTCTCGAGTCAAAATCCCCAAAGCTCTCCCGGCGCCGTTTCCATGGCAACCAAAACCATTTTCGCCAACTTCCCATTTGGGCCACTAAAACAAATTCTTGTTCTGTCTCCTTTTTCATGAAGGTTCTCACCTCCCAGTTGAGCGACACGCAGGTGTTGCTGGCAAGCACGATGAGCGGCGGCCCACACTGGCCTGGAGGACCCGCTGCAGTCGTGACCACCGTTGGCTGGGAGTACTCGCCAAACTACGAAAGAAAAAAAAAAAAAAATCGGGAAAAACTGATCAATGCAGAACTTTATTTTTGTATCGTGAAGCCACACCCCCCCAAAAAAAAACAACTTTATTTTATTCATTCTGCATTTAAGCAATTCATCAGTTATGCCAAATATCAGCCAAAAATAAATCAATAAATCCTTTTCGGTCGGGTGTTTTTTTTTTTTTTTTTTTGGTCAATGTTTTTGCTCACCCCAGCCTCATTGGCAGCCCTCAGCCGGAAACTGTAGGTGGCGCCGGGCAGCAGACTACCCACGGTGCATTGCAGCTCCGCCCCATGGAACACTTCGGCCGGCTGGGCGTCTCCCTCGCTCATCTCCAGGCTGAACATGTACGCCTCGCTTGCACCATTGGCAGCAGGGGACTCTGTGTAATGACACGAAGGATTTTTTTTTTTTTAAAAATCTAAAAAAAATTACTCGGGGGAGAACCATATATTCAAAAGGACAGATGTCGTTTGCTGTATATTTATCTAGCCATCCATTTTCAAAACCGCTTATCCCGAACATCGGGGGCGTGTGTGTGTGTGTGTGTGTGTGTGTGTGTGTGTGTGTGTGTGTGTGTGTGTGTGTGTGTGGGTGTGTGTCGATTATCGATAAGAGACACTGCAAACAATGATCGTTTCAAATGCAAAATTAAGAAAAAAAAAAAACCTAGCTTCAACGCACACAAACTGAGGACGGATTTGCTTTCACGATTCGAAAATGCTTAAATGTCAACATTTGGTGACTCTCAGTTGTGTCAAATTGCCTGCTTGAGGCCACACCCCCAGACTTTGGTCTGACTTGACTATCCTCAAATTGGCAGGACTTGGACGACCCCGCAACGTCAAAGCACCGAGGCCGCTAAAACGAGGGCAGAAGTGCACCGCAGGTCAACCATCATTCGCAGACGGTTAATTGCGGCAATCTGCTCCAACTCGGCCTGTCTTATTAAAATCAGCTAAAAGGAGATCTTTGCGAGCGTTCAATTCTCGGAAAATAGCGATTGCTGAGACGCAGCGGGGGCTCCTGACCCGAGCGAGCCAGCCAGATGCGAACAGGTTTTTTTTTTTTTAATGGAGTCTCGATTAAGCATCAAGCGTGCTTTGACCGAGGGGTCCATTAGGGCGGGCCGGGAAAACGTTAACAGGCAGCCAGAGGGTGATTAAGCTGCCTTGCAGCAATCAATCACAGTCAAGCCTCTAAACAGTGTGTGTGTGTGTGTGTGTGTGTGTGTGTGTGTGTGTGTGTGTGTGTGTGTGTGTGTGTGTGTACTCACCCCATTCTAACTGGACCTCCTTGTGCTTGGCTTTACCCACAATCCTCGGCGGCTGGCAGGGCCCGGGTGGAACGCTTAACGTGCGCACCGGAACGCCAACAGTGCACTTGAGCAGGAAAGGATAATAAATAAATGAATAAAAATTAACATTTGTCATAGTAGTTCAATGGTCCAATTACGGTCCACTAGCGTAACGCTAACACATAATGCCAAACCCTATAGACAGGCTAACAAAGGTAGCATCGGCGCCGCAGTAATTACAAAGCTTAAAAACGATGGCTATTTGAACACAAACGGTGCAGCAACACAGATATTATAAAATGACTCCTGGGCAGATGTGATTTATGTGGCGCGTAAAGCGAAATGAGATTTTCTGAAGCGCCCATCTTCACCATAACAACAAGAATAGTAGAAAGAAGAGAGCGTACCTGACTGTGCCCCCCGGTGGTGATGCTGCAGACGCGCAGGCGGTACATGCTGCCCGGGGCCAGGCGCTCGCACACGCACTCTGTGGCCGGCCCGCTGTACGCCACCTCCCATTGATCGGCTGCACGCACAAACGGGCACGCACACACACACACACACACACACACACACACACACACACACACACACAATTTCATAACTGAAACATCTTTGTTCAGTCAAGTTCTTCTTATGACTTTTGGGGAATAGCATCCAACCAAGCACTTAAAAGTACAGCATGAGCTCCTAAAAGCGAACACTTGTACCTTCCGAGCATCCCTCGCTAATCTCCAACAAATACGTGAGCGCTTCAGAGCCGCCGTTGTCCTGCGGGGGATCTGTCAAGAACGAAAGCAGAGAGACAAAAATGACTCAAAGGACAACGTTGTTTAGCAGCGAGCCGTCCTGGTCTCGCATTTCGACAACAACAAGATACTTCTCCTTTCAATTGACAGGCGCGTAATTAACATTTGCTGGGATTAAGATGAAGTCGGGCCTGTAGACGTCCGGACACATTACGTACGCCTGCGCGTCTTAACGCATGATTGTTTTTTTGTTTTTTTTTAATGAGTCGTTCTCACTTTTAGTTAGTTAAAAATGCTGTTGAAATATTGTTTGTATTTCATTTTAAGCTTTCCACTGTTGGAGTAAAAAATAGTAAAAACAATACTGTAAATTATTTAGATTTTTTTTTCATTTTTATTTGCTTTATTCAAAATTTATAATTGCTATTTTGAATGCTTTTTTTTTCGCCCACTTTAAACATTTTCTGTGATTTAAAAATGGTGCAGTCGGACTGGACACCAAGGCAGTACAACTTAATAATTTCAAAATTATAATTGTAAATATGATCCAAATGAAACATAAATAGATAAAAATGTAGCACAATGACAAAAAAATGTTAAGAAATGATGTTCTGGTTTTCAAATTTGAAATTTGCAACCATCTCAAGTCAGAATGATATTCAAAACAAGTCAAAGAGAAAAACTAGCAAATCTATCCGATGACTCGATTACTCGATGGAATAGTCAATACGATAAATGGGACGACAAACGCCATTTAGTGACGCCAACACAACATTATAAATCGGCAGTGGACCGGCGTACCTAATATTGTGTCCAGTCGCTTCTTTTTTTTTTTTTTTTTTTTTTTTTTGGGTGCAGTTTCACGCTATCTCGAAATCAAGAAGGCCTCACCCCATGTGACGGTGAGGGCGTAAGGCGTCGATGCCACGACGCACGGCGTGGACGGCGGCCCCGGCTTGTCGGGATTGGTGGTGCACACCAGCACTTCGCTGGGACTGCTCTTGCCCTCCACGTTCGACGCAATCAGCTGCGGCCGGGCGCGGGGAGGGAGAAACAAAATTAAAAAAAAACAAAACAAAACAAAACAGGAAAAGGTTATGTGTCAGGTGAGAGAGGAGACGCACGTGAATGTAATTTCAATGGATGAGGAAGTAAATGATGTTTTTATATGCGGTGGGCTCGGTGGAGATTGAGGTGAGGTGTCGGAAAATTTGCAGATAGAGAAATATCATTTTGGCATGCGCAAAAAAGGTTTTTGTGTTCATATCAGGCTTTGTTCAAACCAGTGAAAACATCCCATGGACTTCAAAAACAAATTCTAAGGTACGCAAAAAATATCAACTGGACTAGCAGAAAAAGCATTTGGGGGCGGGAAGGGTTTGAAAAACGTCGATTTCGGTTTTTAGTTTCAACATGCACATTGACAATAAATGAGCAATAAAAAATATATATATTTTTTGTTCAAGTCCCCGATAACAACATCAAGTTTAGTCAAAACAACTTTCCAATTTCGTTAAAATGAACGTTTTGGTGAAAATTTTCTAATTTAGTTCAAACTCATTTCATGCTCATATTTTTTATGAAAGAAATTTATTTTTATATTACCTATAGTTCAAATACATGGAAAATAAAATGTGCAGCTCTGAAATTATCTTTTTTTTAGGGTAAATAAAAATTCTTCCATTGCTTGCCAAACTGCAAATAGAGCTCGTTCCAACGCATGCTGTTGTAAAACGAATACGCTTGAACGGTAAAAATATTTTGTTTGGACGACTGCCTTTCCCGAGTCAAAACACAAAATTTAGTTCATTGAATTGACAAAAAAAAAAAAAAAAAAGCCAAATTGGGTCAATAATTAATATGACAGAACAAAATGCATTCCCACAAATCAAAATGTACAATTCAGCAAAAACAAATGCATTTTCACTATAAAAAAGAGAAGTGTTGCAAAAATAAATGCGTTTTTAGGCCTCTGACAAATTTTTGCAGCGTCTCCATGTGAAAGCCACTCACCCTGAATTTATACTGCGTGCTCCTCTTCAGGCCTTGTACAGTACAGGTCAAGTTTTCTCCAGTGTACTTCGGGTGAAACTCCGCTCCCTGGGAGAGGTTCATTTGGGGCGCGTTGAGAACACACACACACCTTTTGAACGTGTGTCCGCGATAAAACAAAAGAGCAAGCCACTCACGCTGTTGTCCTCCTGGATCTCCAGGGTGTATTTGAGCTGCTCCTCGCCGGGGCTGCCCTCGGGCCGCCCCCACTCTAGGGTGACCCAGGACACGCCGGCCCTCACCAGACGCGGCGCCAGAGGCAGCGCGGGCAGCGTGCCCATGGTGTAGAACACCGCCTCGGAGCTGAAGCCGCTGCAAAACGAAGAGAAAAAAAAAATGTCGTATTACTATTCATCATATGTTTCTGAGGAAAACAAAACGTGAGGCACACCTGAGAAATTTTTAATTGCGGTAAAACAAATGCGCTCTCTGTCGAGCGACTGTCAATCCATTCCTGATCAAAATGTCAAAATCTGCAATTTTTTATATTTTTTTTATTTCTCTTATATCGGCATACAAATCAAATATTGGGGTACAACGTGAAAGAAAAAAAAAATCTTTTCAAATATTTCTTCCACCAGCATGTCATTTTTGGGGGGGCGTGGTTACCTTGTGCCGATGTCGTTGTGCGCCGCCACCCTGAAGGTGTAAGCGCAGGCGGGGAACAGCCGCGTCAGCTTACAGTGTCGCTGGCTCCCGAAGTAACATTCCCGGAACACGCTGTTTTTCTTCCCCTGTACAAACGGGCACACAATTAATTCACGATCATCGTTTGGAAAGGAAATTCACGGATGTTTTCTCTCACCTCGTCCCACTCAAGCAGGTAGTTTGTGATTTTGGATCCGTTGTCGCCTGGCGGCTGATGGTGGCCACACAACAAATGAGATGAGACATGCTCAAATTTTGTCATGTGACTTCGCAGCGACTGTCCAATGAAAAGCCGACCGGCCGCCATCCGATGAAGACAAATTCATTTTTTCGGATAAAAATCACATAATTGTCTACAAGCCTTTTGTTCTGATATTCCATGTCATCATTTTTTTTTTCAAGTCCCCTACAACAACATCAAGTTTAGTCAAAACAACTTTGCAATTTCGTTAAAATGAATATTTTGGTAAAAAAATTCAAATTTAGTTCAAACTCGTTTCATGCTCATATTTTTTATGAAAAAAACTTATTGTCATGTTACCTTTAGTTCAAATACATGTGAAATAAAACGTACAGCTATGAAATGATCTTTTTTTAGGGTAAATAAAAACGGCATTTTTCTTCCATTGAATGCAAAAAAAAAATAAAATAAATTTCAAAACAAAAAAATTGAATATTTGGTACAGAAGAAACATCAATAATTGTTAACCTTCTTCTTCTGTTTGAATTCTTCTTTGGAAGTCACAGTGACCCATCACCGGTGAGCTATTTTTCGAACGGACCCCTGTTGTCCTCGGGGGCTAACAAGTACCCGGTGGCACCATTTTTTTTTTCTTCTTTAAAACATTAATCAACAGAACCAAAAAGCATCCGCGTTTGCCCAGTCGTCTTGCTTCCTTCCTCCCTCCTCCTCCACCGGGCGTAACTGCTCACCCCTCCCTCTCTGCTCGTCGAAAATCTCAGTAAATAAAAAAAAAAATTCAATTTAGTCTTTGCATTAAAAACGAGCCGAATTTTAGCGACAGTTGCTTGTCACTGGACAGCGATGCGAGGTTCACAGTGTGGAACGAGTTCGAGCAGAAGTACCTTCCACTGTAAAGCGAGGGTGCTTTTGGTGCGGTGGGAAAGCCTGGGGGCAAGCGGGACGTCGGGAACGCTGACGCTGCAATGCGTGGTGAACGTGCACGCCTCGGAGCACGAGCCGCGCACCGAGTTGTATGTGGCGCACACCCTGCCGGCAAGGAGGGCGCACCAAGGTCACAAAGGTCCGCGCGAGCGACAAGTTTTTGCGGTTCAAAAGTGAGGAGAGGAGAGCACGTACCGTACGTGGTAGTCGGTCGCTGGCCTCAGATCTTTGAGATGATACTCCAGTTCTTCACCACTTTGGAACAGCAACAAAAAATACAGATAACAATCCCACAATCAATTGCTACAAAGAATTCAATGCATTGCCAGCAAAAATGGCAAGTGGTTCAAACAGCTGCGATTTTCTGACGAAATCTTATTTACGCGCCTTTGCTCAGAAAAATGTCACATTAAGTTCAAATCCAATCTTCCCCTTGAACAATACCAAATGTGTTTATTTCATTTTAACCAAACAAAAAACAAGTCAATTTCATATTAGTCAAAATACATTTCGAACAAATCAAATGCGCCCATTTTAAATAAAAATCTGAAGTTTCTTTTCCCACTGAAATCATCAAATGTTGAAAAAAAGAATATTGTTTAGATGTTCTTTCATTATTTTCATTTTAAAACAATTATATATTAGATTTTATACATATAGGGGTTTTGTTCAATAAAAGATCACAATTTTTTTTAACATTTGATAATTTTAGCGAAAAACCTTGAGATTTTTATTGAAAATAGGCACATTTGATTTTATATATATATATATATATAAATGAAACGGCGTAATTTTAGCTTCTCTTGGTGTTTACCTGTAGATAAGGCGAAACTTCCCGTCTCGCCCTTTATCCGAGAGGGACACCTCGTAGGAGCACGACATGGGCATGCCGTTGCTGTGCCGGCTTGTCAGGCCTGCGGGGGGCGCCCAAGAGAGACGCACAGCTCGGGCCTGCAGATTGGACACCTACCAAGAAAAAATTAAGTGAATTCGACGCAGACCATTTGACTGCTTTAAAAAACGCCCATCCTTTCCGATTTGTTAAACTTAACAATGACAGCAAAAACCAACAAAAATTGGCGGACTTTTTGGGGGTAGAGTGTTTAAAACGTTGTCTTATGTTGTAATATGTACAAAGATTAAAACAAAAAAACTCATCAGATTTTATAAAGCGATAATAATGGCTGTTTAATCGCTTGGCTGATTCATCGGTCTGGCCATTGACGCAGCACAGAAGACGACAGCATTTTTGATTTGCCGAAGGTGGATAATTCCATTTTGGCTTCAATTTAATGAATCCAAGGAGGACTTTTTTTTTCAGACCTCAACATTTTTGAGGACATGCAGAAATAAATCTTTGAGTTCCCTGTAGCAGTTCATTGGTTTCATGAACACAAAACGATCGTTTTTTTTTTTTTTGGTCTTAATTCATACAGGCGAAAAAAAATATAGGCAGTGTTAGCTTCACTTTAGATGTCAAAGGGGGTTTGTGGTACTTTTCCTGCTGCAGTATAGTTCAGCTTGCACAGCTTCGGGAAAGCATGTGCGGATGCTGCCCTCGTGTGGCCCTTCACAGTACTGCTGCAGTTTCTTTTGCAACCTCGGGGGGTTTTAAAAAGACGCCAACTCTGTCGTCTCCCCCCCTCCTCCCCCCAGCATCTGATATTCATGTTAGCTACCGAGACAGAACGGAAACATGGAAAAATGGACCACCAATGAAAAGCATGAGACAAGGACCTGGTATGTGTGTGTGTGTGTGTGTGTGTGTGTGTGTGTGTATACAAAAGAAAGGGGAAAAGGTGTGCGCACCAACCTGTGGTTTGTCGATTGTTGACAACATGTCTTGAACACGTTTGGTCTCTGAGTCATGATCTGGAGAAGGAGAAAAACATCAATAAAGTTGACAAAGTAAAGTTATGACCAGATATTTGTGCTTTTTTTTTTTTTTTTTAACAATTTGCAAGTGTTAATTCAGATTTTTAGATCCCATAAAGTAACTAAAAATCCTTTTAAAACAGCTTTGTTTAAAAAAAAACAAGCTGCAGGTTTTTGTTGTTGTGAAAAGTAAACAACATATATAAAATAATAGAATAGAATAGAATAATAGAAAATCATATCATGATCTTAAAAATATGCACTCAGTAGTGAAAATGCCTCATGTAAAAAACGTCACAAAGTAAATCCATCGGCCATGTGAAAAATGCATTGGTGATACAGTAAATGTTCAATGACTGAAAGGTTATATTTATAGTTATTTAAGATTTCAGGTTTTCATTTTTCAATCCAAAGCTTATTTTTGTTTTAGCTAACTCAAAAACAAGTTTGAAACAGTCAAACAATGATGAGGATTTCATTTTTTTTACAATTATTTTTACATTTTAATGAAGAGGAAATATTAGTCATTAATTTCACTTTATTTGTTCCTTATACATGTGCCGACCGAAGATAATACTTGCAGGTATATATTTTTTATCTTCTGCAAAGAATGACTGATATTACAGCCGTACTGAGAAGCCAAGGGAGGAGCTGAGTATCTATACACGATATCCGTGGAGCTTGCTGGCGTTGGGTTGGAGGCATTAGGACGCATTTGCAGAAGTACGTGTGCACACGCGTGCGTGCATGCGTAACAGACTGGGGGAACCCTGACCCGCCACCTACCCCCCCCCCCAACCCCCTCACCATCATCACTCTCCCTACGGGCTCCCCCAAGTTGAAGGTTTTTCCGCCTGCTTTCTCCATCGGAGTTGAGCCGACTGTAAATCACAATGTGTGTGCGTGTGTTTGTTTGCGGAGGAGCCCGGGGCGACACGTATGAGTCATGGCAACCGTGATGTCATGGAAGCACAACCTCAGCTTGAACTCCCCTCGTGTGCTTCGTGTGTGTGTGTGTGCGCGCGTGTGTGTGTGTGTGTGTGTGTGTGTGTGCGTTCTAAGTAAGAAGTTACAGCAGAGCTACTGTATGCATTTGACCTGTTGAACTCTGCACGCAGACGCGCACGCGCGCACACACACACACACACACACACACACACACACACACACACACACACACACACACACACACACACACACACATTGTCGACCATTTTGTGTCTGCTATAGCCCAAAATAGGGTTTTTTGGTTTGATGCAGATGATTCACGTGTGCAAGGTTCAAGGACAAGATGAAAATTGTTGACTAACATATAGTATTTATAACCTGAGCCAATATCGACCGGACAATTAATCAGTTGTCAATATGCCACCAACGACAGGCCCTCCAGACATCAACATAACTTTAAACTCATCTCACAACAATATGTTTACAAATAAGCAGAGGAAAAAAAATATACACATGAGGCAAAGACTCTCCTCTAACAACCTGCGCTGAAGGTAAGCTCCGCCCCCTACATGCTGAGATACTTCCATAATGGCTTTGGTGCCATCTTGTGGCATCTCAAAGCATTACAGGAAATACAAAAAATATGGAAAATGACCAAAGAGGAGGTTGCATCGAATAAAATGGAATTTAAGACCATATTGAGTCGAACACGGCGACATATACATTAAAAATAATCAATAGGGCTCTTGCTTTGATCTGCTCAACTTCCAATAAAGACGCAGTGGTGGAAAGGAAAAACACAAACTTGTTGAGTGCCCTCGACTTGTGGTGGATGAGGCCAGCTGCTAAACTCTTTCATGCGGGGAACAACCGCAAGGAGCCACACGCGCGCACGCACACACGCGCACGCACGCACACACACACACGTGTTTATGTGCTGCCCACACTTCCTCTTGTCTGCCTGACCTCACGTCCTGTCTGAGTGTAAGACGATAAGCGAGGACAGACGTTGGCAGTCGGAAAATGGGAAAAAGATGAAGGATTTGGGAACTAGGGAAGAGGGGGGAAAAATATATAAAAAAGCTCAGGGGGAAGTGTGGGCCAGACGAGACGGAAAAGAGCGACATAGCATCAAAGGACAGGATGCGGACGACATGGGCGGCGGGAATTGGCAAACTCCACGTGTTCCGGTGAAAACTGATTTTTTGGTTTTTTTTAAAGCATCAGTGGAGTGGAACCTCGATTTAACGGATGCGGCATTGAACGCACAGAAAACAATGTGCGGTCAACTCAAAACGTCCTTTCTAAAGTAGCTGTTTTCAGTTTCTAACTTCCAGAGGTGACCGTAATTCCCCAAAGGGCCAATAGAGGGCGCTGCGTTGTCATCAACAGAGACCGGTCGCATTCTACCTATTTGCGTTGCTGTTGTCAGAGATCGTTAGAGTAGACCAGAGCAGGCTCAAACCACAGATTTGTATACGGACTAACAATTGCAAGGACATACGTGGCGGCCATGTTAGTAGGGGCGACCATCACGTCACGGGTCATGGAGAGCATGGACATTAGCTTAGCATCGCCGCAGCTGCCTTTTCATATCGATGGGTGTTTTTTTTAATCAGGCACTAGTTGGGTACACGCTTCCGAAAGCGCTATTCTTGATAAGTACGATAGGTTACAATAGTTCATGGAGGCTAACCAAATAAGCTTTTTTGCTAAGGAAATAAAATAAAAACGAGTTGCTATTATCCTCCACCTATAAGCACCAACAAAGTAAGTTTAGAGTGAAATTAAAAACTTTTACCGTGATCATTTACTCAACTTTTCATCCAGTTTCTAGCTTTTTCAAAACTATTTATTTGCAATAATTTTGTACGGTACCGGGCATTTTTAGACCACAAAAAAAAAAAAAAGTACAAAACTATATAATTGGTTCTTTTTTGGCCAGAGACAAAAATATTTCCATCTTTGACGTGTAAAGGAGTGAAGTACTTGAATGGACTACTTGCATATGAGTGCTCATATCGGCGATTTTGGGTTTAGTAATCCGATCCGTAAACCGAAACAGTTTTGTTTTCGGCTGATATTGGACCGATATCCAATATCAGATCGGGACATACCAATTTTTTTATTTCACATATATTTAGAAACAGGACATTTTAGAGTTATAATTTTAATCCCGTGATACCGCAATATTTTTGCTCACGGTTATCATCACATCAGACTCTAATATCGGCCCACGCCGAAATGTAAATTGTTGACAATGACAGTCAGACCTTGATGCATGTTTTTTTTTTTTTTTTTTTTTTTTTAACGTTTGTCTGACATTTTTAAAGCATTTCATCCACAAATATCTCGTGCAGCAGCAGCATGTGATCGACTTCCTGCGGCTTGACTCCTGCAAATACACTTGACCGGAAAGAAGAAACGGAAGGGGGCGGGGGACCCCCGACGACAACAACAACAACAACAACAACAACAACAACAAAAAACAAAAAAACTCCACTTGGAAGTTGGACGCACCATAACGCAGGAATGGCTGATAACAATGACATCTTGTCTGCGGCTGGCCTCGCACACTCTTTTTTTGTGTGTGTGTGTGTGTGTGTGTGTGTGTGTGTGTGTGTGTGTGTGTGTGTGTGTGTGTGTGTTAAAAAAAAAAAAGAAGAAGACAAGGAGGTCACATTCCTGCAGAATGACGGCCTGCGGCTCCGGCATGCATTCTGTCTGCGCCGGGACAGAAAAAGACCTTTAAGGCCTGGAGGGGGAGGGGGGAGGGGGAGAAAAATGTGAAAAATGCAGCGGAGCGCACACACACGAACACACACCACGTGGAAAGAAGTGCAATAGATTGTCATCTTTAGCAGTCTCTAATCAACGGCGAACAAAAGCACTCAGCTGGGAGGAAGAAGGGATGAGGAATGAGGTGTGAGCAGGAAAAAAAAAAACGTGTCATTGCCTGCATGGTGAGCATTCGTGTGTTCAGCAGCTGGCCTGCACGCACGCACACACACACAATTGCAACGCTAGTTGTCATGGTGAAGGTTTGCACATACATCATCTATTTTTTTTTCTTCCAAGACTTACAAAAAATAATTACAAAAGTATAAAATGTTTTTTTTTCCACTTCATAAAATTCCAAAACTCGGAAATGTCCAAATATTAAATTTTTACCGTCACCCTTTTTCTTAGAATATTACAAATAATCGAGATAGATTATTTTTGTCTTCACATTATATTTGGATTTATATTATTGCTCGTGTCTGATTCGTTTTTCCCATTTTTACTATTACATTTTGACTGAATTATTTTAATATTTTTAACAGTTCTCAACAATACTACAATTGTATTCTACCATATTATACGGTATATTTTATTCGATAAACAAAAGTAATATTTGTAAAAGTTAAAAGACGTGAAGAAAGAATTTGTGACATAAATATTAGCAGAAGCATTACCAGGAATTGCCGCAACATACAATATTCACCAAAAACATTATTGAACACTTCATAGAAAAATAAATAAGTAAATAAAAAATGTTTTAAAAAAGACGCTTGAAGCTGTTTGTTGCCGAAGTTTACCCTCACACTAAACACAAAACAAAGAGCATTAAATGCCGTGCATTAAAAACAACCAGACTTGGGCTTGGGAATGCCCCCTCTTGCTTCATGCTAACATCTAATGGAAAACGCCATTGACAGGCTAACATTTAGCATTGCTGCGGAATAACCCTTGATGCAACGGGCATTCGAACCCAAATGGCGGAACGAACCATGCAGGCGGATTATTTAACATTGACAAGCATATATTCTTGATCCTCTGCAAAAAAAAACAAACAACTAATATTATGGGAGTTTATTGAGCCAGATTCGTGGTGACTCTTCTTTGTGTCTGTATGACTGTATTGACTTAACCCCCACTCCAATGGCTAAGGTGTGTGGGTTTTTTTTTTTTAAGTGGATCCTATTTGCCATCTTGAAGAAGAGAAATAAACAAAATGGTTTGACATAAGACCACCCCCCCAACCCCCCAAAAAAAAGCAAATGGATTTCCTCACACTCACGCACACAGCTCAGCTGCAGCGCACTTGACACGGAAGGGGTCATTCGCACGATGATTGGCAGGAACAGCCATCCTCAGATGACCTCGCACATGATGTCATCATTTTTCCTCCATAATTCTCATCTGGTCCGTGTCATTTTTTCCTGCCCCCCTCTTGCGCATCGCCCTATTTGGAAGCCGTGGGAAGCACGGAGAACTCAACCCGGGGGTGAGATTATTGCCATGGCGATGCACATCCAAACAAGGAAGGAGGAAGAATCGGGGAGGTGGGGGTCATCGGGCAAGGGAGGGTTGGATGTTCATGAGTCATGATTTGGTCAAAAGGTGAGTGCGGCTAATGAAGATGACATCACGGAAATAGAAGATTAACTTTTTTTCCGTCTTTTTACTCACTGCGTCAGGTTCACTTTGCCGTAAAGTGAACCAATCAGCTTCTGGAGCCATCATTTTTGGGAAATCTGGTTAAGATGTTTTCTTGAGCGTCGAATAAATTCAAAATCTGCATCGGCGACCCAAAACAAGAAGACTCGATTGTGATTTTTTGCAAGCAGTGCAGTTCGACTCTCCAAAGCGAAGTGGGGAACATCTGCTTTCGTCTCCACTCGCACCACTCGCGGTAACTTGGCGACGGTTTCTGCCAGAAGGCCGGGTTCTAGGAACCCGCGGCGGACGGTGCGGAAGCGAAGACGGGGAGGCGGGGGTGTGGGGGAGCGGGCCCACATCTGTTTCTGCTTGGCTCGTTTCTGGGAGGCAAGTAGGGCTTTTAACAGGGGGCGGAGTTAGGCTGCCATGTTGGCACCGAGGCAACAGCCGCGCACGGGCAAGGCGGGCAGGGGCATTGGGGGCAACTTTTGTTCTCCATCAAGGCCATGTTTGATTTTTTTTCCCCACAATACATTCTTTGAAATTCTAATAATTTCGGGGTTTTTTCCTGCAGCATTTATAATAAATACATACAATTTAGCAAGTAACAAAATTTTATTTAAATTGAATTTAACCAATTCATAAATTCAACATCATCCCTTCGTTTTATTCTACTTAAAAAAAACAAAAACAAAAAAAAACAATTACAATTAATCATAATTGTCAAATTGCCATTCACAAAATATAAATTAAATTATTAAATAAAACGTATTTTCAATGCATATGCAAAATTGATTGTGCTAATTGCTTATTTTATTTAACATTCATAATACAATATAATAATAATAGGTTCAGTTCACAGATATTTTATGATGTACAATTAAAAAAGACAATTTAAATAATGACGTAAAATGTTGAAATTCGACATGAAAGAGTCAATTCTAACAAATACTTTACATTTCATTGAACATAAACCAATTATTGCAATAAATATTTTTTCGAATGCATTGTAATTCACCAATTTTAGGAATAAGAAATAATGCGACAAATATTACAGGACTCTCGATTATGCAAATGCTTGGTGGGCCGTACGATAAAATGGAGCGGGTGGCTGTTTGCGTGTGTGTATGTGTGTGTGAATGTGTCTGTGTGCGTGCACATGTTTTTCCAAGCTTCAGAGATGTACTTTTTTTTTTTTTTTAATGTCCCAGCTCCCCTTTCCTTGAAACGACTCGAACTCCCCCGTGCTCTGATTGTTTTCCAGCAAGTTCACTTCCACAGCATTCGATGAGTGTGTGCATGTGCGTGCCCGATCCCCACCATGTCCCTGAGACCCGGCAGGGCCCAGACAGCTGAGGACCCGCTAAGACATCGCGTCGTCGACGTGTGAGCGTTCCCTCGACTCGCAAGCTGAGCTGTCAATCTCCCCGGGTGGGCCCGCCCCCGCCCCCTGCACATGTGTGCATATGTGTGCGTGTGTCTTCTTCGCTGGCAGACTAACACAACCTCATCTGGATTCATACACCGGCTGTATGCTGGCGTGAAGGTTTGAATGAAAGCTACTATTTAAAGGGCCAGTTGACGAAGGAGCATATAATGTCTCCATTTTACTCAATTTGGTCACATCATCCCTTTTTTTTCTCCCAATGCCTGAAAACTTTTGCAAGCGTGTGTATCCTGTAACCACACACCCACACAAACACATAGAAACCTAGTCAGTAGCACTGCATGTTTTAGTCACTCCAAAACATAAATACATAAAATAAAATAAAAACTTGCCTCTCGAGTCCCGTTTTACCACGGTATGAAATCAACTGTTAGGCAGTACGGTCAATGAAGCCCGTCTTGCCAGTGTACCAACGCCTCTGATTTTAGTGTGCTGTCGGCCTCTCACTCATCTTATCACATACAACAAACAAAATGTGTTAGCCAATACACACCCGCCTTCCTATGGTTCGGTTCTTACCTGTCCGGCCACACCCAGTTCGATCAAACGATTCATTCAAATCAGAACTGTCCCCCTGCGTTTGTTCTGGGGTTACCCCAGGGCTCTGTCTTGGGCACCTTCCTCTTTATCAATGACATCCTTGGCTCTTGGTAATATTTTTTGAAAATTCAACTTGCGCTTTCACAATTGTGAAGATGACACTCAGCTGTTGGGTTTCCCTAATTAGGGTCACTGCCACTCTTCCTCCTTTCTCCCAGACCGACTGCTTCTTTGAACTTAAACATTGGTTCTCATCCAACTATGGACAACTGAAGTCCACTCTCACCAGTCACTACAAACATGACAACTTCTCCAGAACTCCGCTGCCGGCATTATCACGAGGACATACAAAGATACGTTGTGTGTGTTATCCGATGACCTGTGTGTGTGTGGGTGTGTGTGTGTATATAAGTGATAACACAGAGCTGCCGTCTCTCCATGACACAAAGTTTCCTTCATCCAGCAAGACTGCACAGGTATGCACAAGCACCATCGGCCCACCAGCACTCCGCCGACAAGGCACGTATTGTGGCTGAGGGTAAAGCGATAGCACTCCAGGACGGCCACAGCTATGCGGCTAGCCAGACAAACCTCCCCCCCGCCCTCCCACCCAGGGAGGCATTCAACCATTCTTGAAAGACAAGGTGCGTTTCATGTATTCAAAGGGCCGTTCGAGTCAGGTCACTCAGGTTATTTCTCCGTCACGTTACAAGTCGGTCACACACAAATGAGAGCTGGATGGTGGCAGGGGACTCCAAACCCGCATCACAAGAAGCAGCGGTTAGCCGCTTACAACAGTAAGTTCAAAACAATTCCCCGAAAAAGAGGTTTCAAGCTGTTTCTTGACACTCCAATCTTAAGGTCACCGACAAATTAAACATCAAAGAGAATTATACTTTGTGTCCTCCCAAAGAGGCTAATTTGTAATGTAAACAATACGTGAACCGATAACGTGTCACTTTTTTTCATACCCTAAATGTTGTGTACAAATGATTTTGTCCTACCTTGCGGGTGTGCCTCCGGTTCACCGTTGCGTGGACTGCTGCGAAGCCGCCTCTCCGGTTTCTTGCTACCTGGACTGCCGCCGCCTGACCCCACTGACCCGAGCGATGGCGCGTGGGACTTGCTGCTATTTCAAAACATATGCAACATATGCAAAATATATATGTATGGAGAAAGAGAGAGAGAGAGAGCGAGAGAGAGAGAGAGAGAGAGAGAGAGAGAGAGAGAGAGAGAGAGAGAGAGAGAGAGAGAGAGAGAGAGAGAGAGAGAATAATCAAGAATCTGGAAGAAGCACATTTGGACCAATTTAAATAAAACGATGGCTCGAAATGATGAATCGATTATGAAAACAGTCGTGATTCATTTGATCAACTCACAATCCTGCTCCAAAAAGTAATAAAAATTCACTCAAGTGTCAATCAAGTTAGAATGTCATACAAAGTAAGTATCATGCAAAATCCAAAACCGCACAGTCACCTGTAACCGTTGTGGGCCGGCCCCAGGCTGCCTTTATAAAGGCTGGAGGGCGGCGAGTTGAGCCGATTCTGTCGCTCCAGTTGCCTCTGCTCCTTGATCTTCTTGGGCTGCGGCTTCCCGTACGTCTCCTCTCGGATAAAGTTGGAAATGCCGAACACCGGCATGATTTCTGGGGGAGGAAGAGGGAGTTAGCGGCGCTCGCAAGCTAGCAAAGGCACGTTTCTTATACGGCGCACTGGCTCGGGACGTGGGTACCTGGGTCGCCGTACATGGGGGGGAGGTGGTGCTGGTAGTACTGGTGGTGGGTCAGCTCGCCGGGGCTGACGGGCGGGTAGAACGAGTGGGAGTTGGGGATGAAGTGGGGGTGGGCCAGGTAGGGGGGCAGGTGGTGCGTGGGCGACAAAGCGGGGGAGTAGGACGGGGGATAGCACTCCGGAGACTGGGGGGTCACCACCACCCGGCGGACCCCGGTGGTATCTTCCAGGACCTGCGGCGGAAAACCAAGGACACCGATGTTGGAACATCAGACAACA